AATCTGTAAAGATGTGCAAAATGATGGGCACACACAGGGGAATGCAACCTTTATTTTTCCATATTTTTTTGACCTCTTCTGCCTTGTGTATAATTTTCTAAACCTGGCGGTAAATTTGCAATCTGGCGTAGTGAATGTGTATCTGTGGAAGTTGCTTGTCAAAAAGCACACACTGACACCCTTTGAGGTAGAAGGGCAAGTCATGTGCACTCATCAACAGGCAAACTCTACACAAACACAGTGCTTTTCTCCCAATTACATAATGTATGATATGTCTTGTGCCCATGGTGAACTCCTGCATAAATTTGTTCACATTTTCAGGCACACCACAGTTACAGTCCATCCATAAACCAGCATAAACACTTGGACTGAGCCGCATCAACCTAAATGTCCACAAGGTCACCGCACAAAGTCCACCAGCCAAATCCAACTGTTTGACCCAAATACAATACTCTCCAAATGCTGGGGCAAACAATGTGGGGTCAAATTCAGTTTTCAATCTTTGTTGTGTACTAGCTTATTCACAAAAGATACAACACCGGATTACCCCTCTGGCCCCACCTGGTTTACTACACTTACCTTCATCAAACCACCAAATTCTGCTATAGCCTTGCATCCAAGAGGATAGTTTTTGACCTCAAGCTTTTCCTTTGCTTCAAATCAAGTAAATCAGGTTAGTATCATCAATTAGAATCTGAAGACCTTTCACTGATTCTGTTATAGCTTCCCATCTTCATGAACACTAACAAGATCTGCTTTGATTCTCATGTTTCAACTCATGAAGGCTTCTTCCCCATGAGGACTTGCAATCTCAGAGCTGATGAGTGTGGCCATATAATTGGTCTCCACAAGGGTGGTCTCAAAGGGACACAGATAGCTCAACGCTTAGGGTGCCCACGATCAACAATTGCTACGGTCATTCAGAAGTATAGAAGGACTCACACTTTGATACCTACCAAGCCCCCAGGCAGGCTGAAAAAGTTTTCAACTCAAAACCTTTGTGATCTCAAGGATGTAGTCAAAAATTGTCGACGGGCTTCACTTGGACATATCACCTCAAAACTCGACTTTGATATCAGTCCCACCGCAGCTTGGAAAGCTTTAAAAAAACTTGGCTACCACTCTCGAGTACCAGCTCCTAAGCCATTCCTCAAGGACAATCACATTGAGAGGCGACTTCAATTTGCACTATCTTATCAACATCTGACAGTCAATGACTGGAAAGACATCATCTGGACAGACGAGTCTTTGTTTGAGGTTGGAAAAAGGTTGGAGAAGATTCAAGTCTGGCGCAAATCCACCGAACGATTCAACAAAGGATGCCTCGTTCCAACTTTCAAGAGTGGTCGCTCATCTGTAATGATCTGGGGGGGTTCACAAACACCAAGAAGCTGAATCTGGTCTTTATGGAGCCGGGAAAACGAAATGCCACCGACTTTGTTGCCCAAGCTTACAAAGGTAGCCTTGCACCGTTCCTTGCCTCTGACACTAGCTCTGAAAGCCTCGTATTGATGGAAGATAGTGCGCCGGTTCACACGAGCAAAGTTGCCAAAGAGTGGTGAGGAACTCATGGCGTTCCAAAGCTCAATTGGCCCGCAAATAGCCCTGATCTCAATCCAATAGAGAACATATGGTGTGATATGAAGCCCTCGATCTCAAAAAATCATCAAGTTGAAATCAGTGCAGGAGATGTGTTTGGCTTTGAAGCATGAGTGGGAAGCTATTGGAGAAGACAAGCTTTGTTCACTGGTAGAATCTATGCCGCATTGCATCCAGGCTGTGCTGGAAGCAGACGGTGGTCATACCAACGCTGAGACAGCAGCGCAACTCTACGCTAAATGACATGTTACGCGTAGAGTAACTTTATGCGCTAACGCAAAATTTTACCAGGAAGTAACGTACCTGGAAGAGCTACGTTATCGCGGATAGTGTAACTCATATAGACTCTCCCCGTTATCTGAACCCGATAGCGTGACTGAAACAGTTACGTTATCGTTACTGTAGCTCACTACGGGCTAAAAAAATTGCCTCACACAAAACAAAGGTCATTACTGCAAGAAAGCTATTTACCCAAGGTATAAAATGAAGAATGATCATTGGGAAAGATTAAAAAGGAAACATAACTGTCAATTTGGAAAAAGGTCAGAAAGAAAAGAAGAAAATGATCCAAAGATCTCAAACACTTGGTAGCATCAAATGCATCTTGTTGTAATTGACCATTACCTTATAACCATCTCCAAAAACCAGACTATTTCTTTATTTCTTCTGAACTCATCAACCTAAAATCAAGCATGATCCATGAACTACACCATCATTTGAACAAGAAGAATTAAAAATCGCATTTTGACCATCATGAGTTTGTAAAGATTCTTCCATTGGATCAGGTAGAGATAGAGTAGAAGTGTGTAAAACTGGTCTAAATTTAATAAAGATGATGAATCTACTGGATGGAACAATGTTTCAATTAAATCTGGATATGCTTTACTTAAGAATTCCAAAACTCGATTTCAAATAAAACATAGATTGTGATTGAATTTTAGTTAATCATCAATTGACCTTTACCAATACCTATTGGTGATGGTAATCTTTTGTTAAAAGTGTATAAAGCTTAGAGTGAATCAGTGGATGATTTTTTTGAAAGAAAAAGTTCATTGGGGGTTGAACTTGAGCTCGCTTGGTTTAACTTTGGTGGTGAGGAATCGATGGAGATACAGATGGTCATCTTGATGAATTGATTGAAGTTGATACGGGTTTGAATGTTTGATGGAAATCTATCCTTGGGTCACATGAAAATGTTGACTAAGTAAAGAAAAGTTTGTGATTATAATTGTTCATTTGAAAGAGTTTTGAGATTTGAAAATACTAACTGAGGAGAAGAAGGACCATAAACGTTTTTGTCTTTGGTTTTCACTTGACAACATGATGAGTTATTTTGTCAAGCTAGTGTTGAATCGGTCTAAGTGAAAGTGAAGATTGTTATTGATGACAACAATTTGATTTGATGAGATATGGTGATTTTCGATTTTGATTTTCAGGACTTGATCATAATAATGAAGGTGCTGTTGATTGATGATCAGTAGTATTGTACGACTCGTTGAGTCTTGTTGAGTCGTTTGGATGATTGTAAATCAAGTTCTGAAATTCAAAATTCTACCTTTCCTTGATTGCCTGGCTGATTGAACTTGAAGTTGAGCCCCTTTGTTTGTTTGTGCGCAACATAGCTACCGTAACGGGCTGCGTGCCTGATGCGTAACTGTAAAACAATATACAGTCAAACCCGTGCAAACGCATAATTTGGGTGGAAGACTTTTGCTATGCATTTTGACGGGTTATGCATTTCTGTTGTCAAATTTGACAGTAAAAAGCATCAAGATTCTGGATTTTTTCTATGCATTATCACGGGTTATGCACCTGCGCGGGTATGCATTTGCGCGGGTTTGACTTTACCCGTTATCCCAGGATGCTAACGTAACTGGTTTCAAAAATATTCGTTACGGCAACCCGAGAGCGTAACTCATTGGAGGCCCGTTAAGCTATCAGATAGAGTAACACTTATAGTTACGTTATCTCTACGCTGACGCTACGGGTTGCGCTGCTGTCTCAGTGTTGGTCATACTTGGTGGTGATATATTTGTAATACTTCCTTTTTGAAGTCTCATGTGTATTATTGTATTTTTCAAGTCCCTTGTTTGTTATAAGGTTTCTTTTGCCATCATCCTCATATCTATCATAAAGTTGCTCTGTGCAATTGCATCTGTAGTCCTTACCAAAAACAAACATTGATCTTCTTGATCGTTTGTTGTCTTCGAGAGAAAATCTTGCTACTACTAGTCAATTCAGTCAGTACAGGTAAGTGTAGTAAACCAGTCGGGGCCGGAGGGGTAATCCGGTGTCGTATCTTTTGTGAATAAGCTAGTACTTGGAAATGAACCCAAATTGGCATTTTGAGCTTTAAGGAGATGTACATTCACGGGATACAAATTAGAAGCCAGGCACGTGCCTGGCTTCATGCCCAGATTTTTTTTTGGCAGTAAATTTGAATTCTGGGCCTGGACTTTTGCCCAGAAAATCAAAATTTACTGCCAAAATAATTCCAGGCACAAAGACGGGCACATGCCCAGCTTCTACTTTGTATCCCGTAATTGTCAAATTGGATACAGAATATGTTCTGGAGCAAGAAATTATGCATCTGCTCTGAGCCAACAGGGCCAAATTGCTAGATTTCACACAACCTCTGGGCATTTGGTATCTTGAAATCAGCACCCTGTCACTTAAATCACATACAGCCGTATTCATAATTGATGAACATATGAAAAACTTTTTGAATGATCAACACAAATTGTAAACAGGTACAGCACAAAACATTCAAAAAGTTTTGTTTCAAGTGTTCATCAATCATGAATACAGCTGTACTTGTCAGCCAGAAAAGCAGATACAACACGCTGACAACTCAGAAAACTTATGTCTATAAACAAGGTTTGCTCTATCATATGTAACAACAGTATTTACAGGTACCTACTTCTTTCACTCTAATCATTGTACATGCATAGACCAAATCAGGCAATGTTTGAATTGATTAGTTAGACATATCAAGTGCCAAGTCTTGGTAACTTCAAGTATAACAGATTCAAATTGATGGGAATGATGATTTATCCTGAATGAACCTGTCCCGGATCCTTGTGGGTCATTATTCAACTTATCTGAATCCGGATGGTCTGTCTAGATATCAAAATACTAGGACATTACTACGTACGTATTTTTCACTGTAGTTTGATTCAGCAATCTCGATGGATCCCGAGATTGTTGGCCAAGGTGTTGGTGATTTTGATCATCTGCATATGTGATAATCTTGTTGGAATTCTTCTTCTTTTGTTTCCTTCTCTCAATACCATCATGTCCAAACAAAAAAGCAGTTTCTTACAGATAAGAGTACCAATACCCGCCAATCCCCTTCAGGCTTCATCGTCGTGTACCATCATGAAAATACATCATGTAGGCTTTCAAGCTACTCTCTTCCGAAACCGAGCTTGTATAAATTTTCTAGGAACCTGGATTCCTTGTTTACGATTTACAATCTGTCTCTCGTTGACTTCACATTCAAGACACTCTAGGGAATGACAGAAGAGAGCTCGGACTTCATCGATCGAAAAAAAATAGCTGAGCGTACCGTCCGCTCTCTTGTAGAACGCCTGATCTTCTGAGAGTAATGAGGGTACTGATGTATAACCGGAAGATGGACGTTGATGAAATCTGAGTTGAGCTGCGTCATTGATCGCGTAATCTCGGAATAGGATCGTGCCACCTGGTTTGAGAACCTAAACGAGAACGCGATATGATCAGGATAAAGAATAGAAAGGTGGAGGTCGATGAGAAAAGTTCGATTTAAAAATACTAACGTCGATCAAATTTTGAGCACTGGCTTGATGTTTTTCAGGCGGAAGGGCAGAAAACACAAAGATGCACGAAATGAGATCAATCGAAGGCGAAAATGTGGTTCCCGATTCGAAATTGATCGAAGGATCATCAAGTTTGTCATAAAGCGTTGGAGAAGTCGAAGTAAGATCAAAGACAAATGCCTGAATGCGAGATGATTGATAGGATGGATGAGATTTGAGGATCTCAATGGCGCGTGCTGAGAAATCGAAACAATAAAATTTGGTATGAGATGATTTAACGAGTAATCTGTGAAAAAAGGCCATCAGATCCTTTCGATCAATTATGTTTGATTCCAAACCTCAAAGATGAATAAACCACTAAACATACTGACGGCCAAATAAAATTACCAACTCCACATCCTACTTCTAATATGACTTTTGTTTCAATGTTCTTTGTCGAATCTACATCAATTTGAATATCTTCAAGATTATCAGTTTCTAATTTTCCGATTTCTTCAAATTCGATTGAAGTCCAATTTCGATCTTTGAAAAATCTATTTGCATCTTTTCTTTGGTTAGATGTTTTTCAAAAAAAATCAAACATGGTCACATCAATCAAACCTCGAATCACGTGAAAATTCAGAGATCAAAGGTCACATACGAGTTTTGTAAAATAAGTCCCAATTCTTGGGCGCTTCTGACTTGAGTTTATCTACCCAAAATGGTTGGGCAACCTAATGTAGAATTGGAGAAGACAAGATCAACATGAGATTAGGGATAGATTTATGCTGATCACTAATAGTAATAAACAGACTCACCTGTCTATTTTGACTCAGTACTACTGAGGGAGGGTCTTGATTTGAGGCCATTGAATATTTTGGTTCAGTTCAAAATTTGCTGAACAAATGGGAACCCGACCGGTAGGAAATTGGTAGTATGGTTTTTGTATGGCTTCAGACAGGTGTTGCCTTATCAAAGGTTATGTCCTGTTATGTCTCAGTGTTCCTGCACACCCCTTGAGTGGGTTTTACAGTCTTCATACACCCTTCTTTTTTGTAACTTGATGATGACTCATAAAGTTATCATATGTCCTGGTCTGGTATATATGTTTTTAGATTGTGGTCCTCCAATCCAGAATTTTCTGTGGCACACCTTGAAATTATATCTTGCAATGCTTGAATTACTCCAGATGTCTCTTGCTCATCTTCTTTAGCATAATTCAATTTCTCATCATCAGCATGTGTAACCCTTTGATTGACAGTGTTGTCATCTACTTCTACAAGTTACCTCAGAAAATATAGTGGGAACCATCAAGACACAAGAAGCCACGGACCGGGTAGTTTGTAATTACATACAACAAACATCTGATTTTCCTCTGGTACACTCTTGACCGTCAGGAATAAAAAAAACAAGAACTTTGAAAACTGGTCTTCTGAGGATATTTTTGAATAGCCCTGAACAAGAGGACCCCAAAAATATCTTGATTTGTGAATTGAGTGATATTTGTGACTTCGGCAATCTTTTTTGAAAAATTATCCGATTAAGTGGCTCTTGATGGTTCCCACTATACTCCAAAAAGATGAAACAAAACCGCAAAATACAAGTGGATAGTGTTGATTCTCAAAAAAGATGACCAGGAAGAATCTTAGCATTAGTGAGAGATTGAGTCACAAAATATGTTGGAACCATGCCAAACTATCTTCATGATAATTAAATAAGTTAGCTACAAGATTCTAGTACCAGATGAACATGTGAACATTACAGTAGTATTGAATTTGATGGATTTGATGTTCTTGACACCACACAAATCTTATTTTAACAAAACTGATATAGAGAATTCAATAAAGGGATGTGGAGTGTGAAACTTTCTGAATTATCTATGATTCAATCTTCTATCCTTGCAATGATACCTTACTCTCTTCCTTTGAAAGTGATCAATCTCTCATTGGACATTGCAACCATTTCATGCAACACTAAGTGAACAAGATCCCTGTTCAAATCTACAGATAAAGGCTGATAAAAGACTATAAGTCTTAGCAGACAAAAGTCTGAGCTTAGCATTGACCAAACAACACTTGCTGACCAACAGGAATCCCTGGATCATGTATCTGTGTAGTGTTTGGTTGAAAATAAGCACACACACTTTCCACCTCTATCTCAAAGGCAGCTGCTGGTCCTTGACAAAATTTTCAATAGAAATATTGAGCACCTCATTATAATTTTGTTCTTTTACCAGTTTATACCCTGTGGGTTTTACTCGTCTGAAATTTGTACAAGAATCAAGTATAATTTGATCTTAATGGCCTTGAGTGAGTGTAAGAAAAGGACAAATCTGTGGTAATACTACTATGACTTTCTGAAATGTTTCTCATTACAATGTCCAAATTTTACGGGATTCAGTGCTTGAAATGAATCAAGACTATGATTCTGGAGACACTGCCGCTTTATTTTTTACTGGCTCTTGACCATACTATTTTGTGACATCATTTTGATGTCTGTTTTTGCATTGGGTGAAAGGTTTGCGGTTATTCACATACTTGAACATATCCAAGAGCAGCTACCAATGACATCAGATCAAGGGTACTCAGCCTCTGACGTATGTATATGTCCAGAACAGATGTTGGAAGGAAAATCTGAACTATCCAAGAATGAGACTTTTAGTGTTGAAGCTGTTCACCAGATAGGACAATCCAACAAGTATATTGAGTTGAGCTTTCTTGGATGGGAATGGATGATGCATTTTCATGAAATCCAGAAGATCATTGAGAAGCAACATCCATGAACAAGTGAGGATTTATACAAACCAGATTTTAAGAAAGATCATGGGAAAACACCTTGAATGTCAGTGAATGAATTCAATACCTCAGATTTTCCTGCTTTTCTTAGGGTATCATTCTTTGAAGTTGATTTGATTGAATAATATCCTCAAAGACATCAAGGTCTTTTAGCTCATCGTTTCAGTACACAGGTTTTTTGGTTTTGTACTGTGAACTCATGAATATTGAAAAACCCATTTTCATCACCTTAATGCATTGCAAGTCACATGGTGGGCTTGGTGTGATTTTGATGCCCCAGTACGCGCCATATGCAGGCGCGTACAGGCGCATATTGTTTTCTACAAATTGGGGTGGGCAAGCCCATGGACCTAAGCGTGTGATCTACAAGCTTTTCAGCTGTTTTCACCCCTCCCACACCTTCAAATCATGTCAGATGCATCAATACATGTTATTTATACCCCCTGCACCATATCCTTCAGTCACGGAAGCATCTACAGTCTGGATTGAAAGGTACCACAACAGCAAAATATTGGCCTCCAGTGATAGCAACACATGTTCATTGATGCTATTTTTGTTGAATTGTGGTGTACTATTGCTGATTGTGCAACTAGGCAATATTTACCTATCAATTAGCTAAGACAACCTCTGCACAGTTCTTCTTTCCATTTGAAAAAAATACAGGCTCTTACATATCAAAATCACACAAATCTCAATTGGTTGATGCAACACATCATGGAAAGATGGACATTTGTAAGAGAGATATGTGAAGAGAGGTTTCAAGAGAGTTTCAGATAACAAGGCTTGGTATAAAGCCACCCATCTTTTTTTCCTCTATTTTTGTTGAATTGTGGTGTACTATTGCTGATTGTGCAACTAGGCAATATTTACCTATCAATTAGCTAAGACAACCTCTGCACAGTTCTTCGTTCCATTTGAAAAAAAATACAGGCTCTTACATATCAAAATCACACAAATCTCAATTGGTTGATGCAACACATCATGGAAAGATGGACATTTGTAAGAGAGATATGTGAAGAGAGGTTTCAAGAGAGTTTCAGATAACAAGGCTTGGTATAAAGCCACCCATCTTTTTTTCCTTGATAAAATGACTCAAGTCACTTTTTTCTTCATATCCTCAGAAGACAAACTCATCATTACCAACGCTGCCACAAATACAATACTGGTATTGTATCGACGATACTCAGTAAAGTAACGGGTCTACAATACTAGAGAAACTGAGCCTCAGTAACGTAGTTGTACCCACAATACAATACTCAGTAAAGTATTGCAATGGCAATACTGTGCCGCCCAATACCTAGTACCGTATCTTGTCACGATACCGATCAGATACTGATACTGTATCGTAGTATCGCACTCCCAGACACAAAATCAATAGAGATTTTGTACTCGATACTTCCTTGGGCCCATTCCAGTATCGTACTCGGGGGGCGATACAATACTAAGTAAAGTAACGCCATACACAATACTGCCAGGAGGATTGGGCAGTACCGTATTGTGGCTGCAATACTGATACTGACAATACGATACCCAAAAAAAAACTACAATACCGCTACGATACCAATACTGGTAAAGTAATTGTGGCAGCGTTGTCATTACCCTTGTGTGCCAATTGCAACATGGCCAATAGCTTCTTCTGGATTGCACTCTTACTTGCAAGTTTTTCTTCTTCCCCAGTCCTAATGGATCCTGTTGGGGACTATATCCGTGAGTTTGGCCATATACTCAAATAACCTCAAATCCTGGGCTGGATCCGCTAATCAGGGATCGGATAGCTGTGCCCAAAGAAGTCCATCAAATCACAGACTTCTTAACTTCTGCAGTTCTGGACCCAAATTTTTCTGGATATTCTGGAGCTGAGGCCACACTGATGGAAATAATTCCGGAGGATGCAAAAATCCGTGTAGATGGGGTTGACATGAATCGGGAAGGTAGGTTTCAGTGATACGTTACTCCTCTCAATGGTGTCTTGCAAAAGCTGATAACAGTCCATCTGACATATAATTTGTTGAAAATCATTTTGAGATCAATAGACTTTATTGAGCGTGCAATGGATGATGATTATTGCGCCATAAACAAAATGATCAAGGGTAAGCCCCAAACTCAGAGTCATCCAAGAATGTGGAATTTATGAATCATGTCGAATGTAGACAGCGAAACCCAACATCATGATACAATTCTGATCATGCAGAAAGAGCAGGGTGATCCCGTCAAGACTGAATTCAATGTGCTTTTCAAGCGTCAAGGCACTATGGGAAACAGGGAGGGAACACAACCAGTTTACAAGCTCACCAA